CCCCCCCCCCTCCCCTCCCCTCCATTCACCTCCTCGCTGCTGTTTCCCCCGTTCGTACCCTGTTGTTTACAATCTTTCTTCTGGCCCACGGCGAGAAATCGCGACTCGCGTCCGTTCCACAGCTGCTCCCGAGACTCGCTCGAGACGAAGACCCACGATCGGTGTCGAACGGAAACTCTCTCGCCGTCGTATTTCCCAATCCAACGTAGCGCGCCTCTGCCCGTTGCCTTATCAAGAATAATTTCTCGTATCTATCATGTGAGGCACTTCCTCTGTCGAGCTTTACCCGCCTTTACCTGACCTGACCTGACCGCTCGCTCCGACCGCCAGCCGTTCGCGTCCACGTCATTACACCCTTTGAAGCCTGAACGTTGTGAAATAAAATTTGCAGAAAGAATCATTTATATATAAGCGATGCGGTGCGGTAAATGTGCAAGCTTTTAATCTTGAGGTGAAATTTCATTCTCTAGGTTTGAAATTTAATTCTTTTATCCGCTTGATATTAAATGTATTTATGTAAAAGAACGAGCGATATTTTCTCACCATATAGTATCTCAAAATATGGTACGAATAATATTTTTATATTATTTCTTTATTCTTGCATAAATATTTGCAAGTCGACAAGTTTTTAAGAATGATTTTTATTTGGAATAATTAAAATTGATTTGGGGTCATGGAATATATTTTAGAACTATATCTGCGCGTGGAATTACAGATAGTGAAGGATTAACTTGAGAAAACTAATCATTTTAGTGACAAGACATAGATTATTTATCTAACATTAAAAATTATGCAATTTTGGCACATTGAGTCCCGGAAATAAAAATGGTTATTGCGATCTATTTTATTATACTTTTGAATATATTTATTTCTTGTTAGAAATATTTCATCTCTTAGTTACCGAGATATTTAATGCTGAAAATTCAAACTAAAATCAAATTTGTTATAAGATGCAAAATTTGCCAGGATGTTAAACATCCTGCATGAATTGCCTATTCTTTTTTATACACCTGATTAGAATGCTCGTCGAACGAGTTTAATAAATGCACATCCTTTTCTTACTGCATGCTTGCCTTCAGACAAGCATTCGCATCTTCGTTTACATTGCCGTTAACGTCAATCGCGGTGTGCTATTTCGTCGTATTTTACAAGTTTTTTTTTAGTCATTGTAACGGATCATCGCGAGCGATAATGAATTCCGCCTCCCCTCCGTCCGCTTTCTATCTATATCTATAGAAATAGATCAATATATAATATATATTCTATATGTCATCTATGATCCAACTTAACTCATCTATTATATATCTTATTTTATAATAAGAATCTCTTAATCTATTCACATGTGACCGTTGAATATCAAAGTCTCGTTCACTTTGTTCCTTTTCACGTATAATTCGCATATTTCTCTCTCGTGTATAATGCATTTAAAAATTTTCCATTTCTTTTTTGTTCTAAATTTGTAGATTAGTCTTTACTTTTAAGATTTTATCTCATTTTAGGCACGATTATTTTTTGTGTATAATGTCTCTCTATCATTGATAATTGTATGGTATTTTCCGTCGATGATAAGTTATTGATTGATGAGTCGATTCTTTTTTTTTTAGCGAAGACTGAGTAAAAAGTTATAATCTTTTTACGTTAACTATATCGACGTTTTTTTTTTTTACAAGTCGTTCATGCCTTTAATATCTTAATTGTTTCATAATCAAATATTTTTTAAAACACGATCTACTTGGAACCATAAAGAACATAGGTTTTCGCTATTTATTCATGCTCTTAAATTTAATAATTAATTAATCATTAATTATAGATTTTCACCGAAATTTTTTAATTCTTGAGACAGCAATTCTGTAATTAAGAGGTGTTCTATCATGCTGCATCAATATTTAACGAGAGATTCTCCGCTTAATACACAATCTTTCTCAACGAAC